GATCGCGACGAGCTCGACGCTGTTCGTGAAGTCCCTGGCGGTCCAGAGGCACCAGTTTAGAAGCCTGGGGGCGGAGGCGCGGTAGTACCTGCCCGTCGGCTCCGAGACCGCGCAGGCCTCCAGCACCGACCGACCGCCCCGCAGGAGATTTAGCGGACCAGGCTGCACCCGCTGGCCCCGCGCCGCCTTGGTCAGCTCCGTGAGGGATCCGCAGGCGGCGCGAGACGAGGTACGACCCGACGTCCTCGAAGCTAGGGCCGACGAAGAAGCCCTCCCTCGACGGCTTGTCCGCGACGTTCCTCTCTGACGGCACCCACCGCACGAGCAGGCGCAGGCCACAGGCGAGGGCCACGCCAGCGATGCGCCGCAGGGCGCGGAGAAGATGACGGCTCCCAGACCGCCCCTTGCCGACCGAAAGGGCTAGAGCCAAATTGTCCACAATACAGACGACGCGATGATGATGAGCACTCAGGGCCCTTGAAGCGTGATGGACGCTGAACCCCAGGGCCTCCGCCTCGTACTGAAGGATATCGCAGCCCCGTCGGGTGCGACGGCTAGAGTGAATGGTCTTCCAACCCTCGGCCCCGTAGATGGACTCAGGAACCTCGTAGAACCCACTGAGCCCAGCCGACGAAGCAGTACGAGCAGTAGACGATGTGTCGGCACGGCAACCGTCGGCAGCATCGTCTCGACCGTCGACGTCTAGGGCGTGTGATCTGGCAAGCACAGCATCCCCATGACGATGCCTCCAACGTTCGGCGACTCGGCCGACCTCGGACGACAGCGTAGGGGAGACCTCCTTGACACAGACACCCTTGCCGAACGGCGACGCATCAGACGCATGCACCCGTGGGTACCAGCGAGACCTTGTAGAGGCACTCCAGAGCGGGATGAGGGCCACGGCAGCCGGCAACTCCCTGACGACGGAGGGCCACGAGGGTCCAGGATGAGGTCCCACAGCCCCCATGAACCGATAGACCGCGTTAAAGATGCTCAGAAAGTCGCGCCTCAGGATCACCCCCCAGGCACAATGGCCTACGAGCACGCCGAGGGGCCCAGCAGAGGCCCGCCCACGCTTCAACAGTCCGAGAACGGCTTGACGAGCGCGAGCGAGGCGGTCAGGACGAACGCGAATGATCCCAGAGGTTCCGTCGATATCCAAGCCCGTGAAGACCCCCTTACAGACCGCAGGGGGGAACTCCAAGACAGGCAACCCGCGGGCAGTGAGAAGGTCAGCAACGGCGCGAGCGAGGGACGCGGCTGTCTCCGCGCACCTGGATACGACACAGAAGTCGTCAACATAACCAGCACACACCGCGTCCTTCTCCGCCGCCAAGGGACGAGGACATCCCCCATCCAGAATCATATCGTCACTGCCAAACCCGACATCCGACAGGGCTCTCGTCAGCGCACTCTGGCACAGGTGTAGAGCCCAACTCCACCCCATGGGAACGACTGTGACAAGAGGCTGGAGATAATCGTTGATGCCGAGACGAACCCCGTTGACCGACTTGAGGCCGAGGAATCTGTCGTTTATCGGTGGCAAAGAGAAGAGAGACTCCATGCCAGCGGGCAGTCGCAAATGATAGAATGCACACTGGATGTCGCCCTGCGCGAACTGAAAACAGTCGTCGCAGTCAAGGCTGGCCCGCGCGCTGGGCGTGGGCAGGCGAGTGGCTGGTGGGCACGAGAAGCTGCAGTTGGCCAGCCTGGTGTCGAGCACCAGCCTGAGCTTGCTGTTAGTCTTCAGCACAAGGGAAAGACCAGTAGAAAAGGGTGCCTGCTCGCTGGAGACCCGCCAGGTGATCGTGTCGTGGGCCTCCAGCTGCTTCAAAAACTCAGCGTAGGACTTCGGCTTAAAGCGCAGCTCGGGATCCACATAGGGGCGACTAACCCCCGACGATTCACGGAGCTCCGCCGCCACCGACTCGGGATTCAGCATACTCTGCCTCCAATCCAGCAGCACGATGGAGTCGGCCTCGGAGACGACGCCGCAGGTGGAGACTGCCTTCGTCGACTCGGGCCAGGCCACAAGTGGCATGCTGAAGGGGCGCACGCGACCGCTGTCGCCAGCGTAGCCAGGTGCCTGCGCGAGCATCTCTACGAGGGATGCTTCGCAATCGCGGCCTCTCTCCGAGTAGGCGGCGGGCAGCTCGAAGTCACGGTGCAAGCCCGCGATGTAGTCCACTGAGGCTGCCTGGGCCGCAGGCGGTGCCCCCCCGTCGTCAGGCATGGACGGCTCGTCCTTGCCGCAGTGGAGCCAGTTGAGAGCAGTCAACCCCTCGTTGCACCACTCTCTCCAGCTCGCGCCTTTGGCGGCCCGTAGACGGGCACCCCGACCAAGCGGAAGATGGCGACGCCCATCCACTGGAAGAAGAGGGAGCGGAAAAACGTCACGCTGGCGACGGTCACCTCGTCTGGGCGACTCCAGGCCAGGTGGAGCCACGAAGGGCTCGGGGCAAAGCTGGCCAGGCTCACGAACCGGTAACACGTCGTAAGGCCCCTCCTGGCCAGCGTCCTTCAGGAACGTCATGGATGCCGCAAGGCCCGCTCCTCGCGAGCCTCGCGACGTTCTTTTGCAACGGCGGCCTCACTCTTCATCTGGTCGGCGATCCAGTCCATCAAGGCTGGGCAAATGCACAAGTTGCCCATCGTCTCTCCCGTGCCGAGGAAGTGGCCAATCTCCGAGGAGGCCTCGGCGGCCGCGGACGCGGCGCCGTCCTTGGCCTGGCCCTTGGCCCCGGGCGCAGGCTGAGTCCTGCGCGCGCGCTCCTCGAAGAAGCGCTCCTCCACCAACTGCAGCTGCCGCGAAAGGAACTCGTAGGAGGCCAGCTCGCAGATGACCAGCTGGTCGCGGCAGAGCGAGGTCTCGATGACGCGGCACAGCGTCTCGTGGAGCTTGGCGGCGTCGTCCGTCTCCAGGGCCTGCATCATGGCCATCCAGCGGTTGTGCCACGCCATCGCCCCGCCAGCCATGCGCAGCATGAAGTGGAGCACCCACGTCGTGGTCCTAGGGCCCCTCACGGGCCAGTCGGCGCGGGCGGTCTCGGTCTGGCGCTTCACGGCGTCACTGCAGGGAATGCCCCGCAGCCCACGAGCGTCGAGCACGGTGGCCATCACGCGGGGATCAGGTCCCGCGACGCCTGGGGCGGCGGGGGCCGCGGCGGCGCCGCCGACGCCCAAAGGGTCCGCGGCAGCAGGCAGGGCGGCTCCCCCCGCGCCGAGCGCCGCCGCCAGCGCGCCCACCCCGGCCTCGGGCGCCGCGGCCACGGCGGCGGGCGGCCCAGGGGCGCCCGCGGGGGGCACGGCCGCGCCCGCCAAGGCCAGGGCGCCAGGCGCTGCGGCAGCGGGCGCCGCTCCGAGCGGGTCGGGCAAGCCCAGCGCCCCCGCCGCCACGCCCAGCACGTTGTCGGCGCTGAGCTCGAGGTTGAAGGGCGACGGCGGCAGAGGTCCGTGGCCTTGAGCGACGCCGCGGCGCACAGCAGCCCAGACGACGGCTGCGGACGGCAGCCGCCTGAACTTGTAGAGCCTATGGGCGGCGACTCCGACGATTGCGTCGCCCTGGCCCGCCGAGTCGTGCACTGATCTCAAGTCGCCGCCAGCCAGGTCGCTCTCCGCGTAGTCGTCATCGTCGGGGGTGAGGATGTACCCTGGCAGCAACGTGAGCCTCTCGTGGTAGATGGCGCCCCCCCGACGTTGTACCGTACGTAGTGGAACTGGCCAGAGGTGCGAGCAGCCATTGCTCCTAGCGGCGGAACTTCCTCGCCTGGGCAGCAGCCGCCGTCGCAAGGTCGAGAGTGTCCACCGTCTCGGGCAGAGGTGCTGGAGCGGGTGCGGGCTGAACCACGGGGGCCGTCCGAGAGCTCTTGATGAAGAAGCCGCCTACGACGATGCCGTATGCGAAGGAGCTCACCACGAGCACGACCACGAACTCAGTTGACCAGCCTGTGGGCTGCACGGATGCCAGCGAGCCCTCGCCTGTCGGGCAGCGGCACTCCAACGCAGGGCAGTGCAGCGCTGGGGAGCAGACGCAATCTGGGCAGGGAGTCGAGCTGCCGCGAACTATGATGGCAGTGGTGAGGGCACTGGTGAGGTCGGCGCAGACCCGCTCAAAGAATGCTTGCACTCCTTTAGAACTTGAGCGAGGGAATACGGCCGCGGAGTTACCACAAATGCCGACAAGTCGCTGTATGATGAGGAGGAGGATGATGAGGAGGAGGAGGAGGAGGATGAGGATGATGAGGAGGATGAGGATGAGGATGAGGAGGAGGAGGAGGACGCAGAAGCAGGAGGAGGGCCTGCGCCAGTCGAAGAGGAAAAGGGCGAGGGGCAAGCTAAATATACCGTCGGAGTAGTTTTGCGTTCTTGCCGATTCTCTTCCGACAGGTTCTCGAGGCCTCAAGATGGCTCCAACATAGCCTACGATGGCCCCAAGAGGGGCCCAGAAGGGCCCCAAGACGACCTCACAGACACCCAAGACCACCCCAAGAGCGGCCCATGAAGGCCCCCAGAGGTGATGTTTCGGGGCCCGACGGGTGGGACGCACTTGAGTACCCCCCCCTTCTTTGATCGATGGCTTTCAAGATAACCCTTCGAGGGCCCGAAGGCCTCAAGGAGGGACCCAAGAGAGCCCCGAGAGGGCCCGAAGAGAATCATCTCAAGAGGCCCTCAAAGCTTCCAACATGGCTACTAGACAGCTCTAACATGCGAGAAACACACAGAGCAAAGACCCGCAGGCAACGCCAAGCAACCACTCAACTAGGACAACCGCGAGGAGCCGCGAGACGCACACAACGACGCGGACGCCCCTCATCAAACGCACAGGGAACCTGTGGCTGATTTCGTTGAGCGGTTGCCTGTCGTCGCTACCTGATCAGGGCAACTCACCTGGTGTCTGTTGTTGGATGGGCTGGTGGGGAGACGCGAAGCATCAAGAATTGAGACGTCAAGATCTCCGAGGGGGAGGGCCGCTGGTGTCTCGACTGGCCCCTCCTCCGCACCTTGAGCGGCAGATACCACTGGCCGACCTGAAGCCAACCGTCCCCGGTCTCCACGCCCTGCACTGTGGAGCCCCATGCCGCGCCCACGAACGCCTCGGCGCTGGCCATGGCGCCCAGGTCCTTCGCGGTGCGGTAGCCCAGTCCTGGGCAGGACCAGCCAGCACCGAGTCGGGAGAAATTCGCCGGTCCAACGGGCCAGAGGCGTGCTAAGATCTCCGGTAACTGGTCAACAAAAGTTTTGGTTCGCGCGCGCAGGGCGGCCCCTGGGGGCCCCCGGACGAAAAGTACCCTGGCAAGGTCCCGGGCAGGTCCCGGGCGGTCCGACTCAGAGATGGTTTTCCTCTTGGGCGCCGCCCTCGAGGCCCTCGAGAGCCCCAAGAAGGGCCGCGAGGCCGCCAAGAGCCCCCCAAGATGGTTCAAGAGTGCTCCGAGATGCCACACGCTCGCTTCAAGACACCCAAGATGGCTCCCAGACGCCCCAACAGGCCCCCAAGAGGCGTCCCAAGAGGGCCCCAAGAGGCAACAATCGTCTCATTCCTTAAGCAAGACGCAATGTTTTAGCATATTCGCCACGTCACAACGTCAAAAGCGGCCCAAGAGGCCCCAAATATTGCCCCAAGACGGCCCAAGAGAGCCCCAAAACTGCCCCAGAGGGCCCCAAGACGACCCAAGAAGCCTCCAAGACAGCCCAAGAGGACCCCAAGACGGCTACAAGAGGGCGTCCAGACGGGAGACCCGCACGGATATTTCGAGCCCTCGGCCCCAAGAGACCCCCAGGAGCGCCCAGGAGGCCTTCGAAAGGCTCCCAAGAGGCCCCAAGAGGCCCCCAAGAGGCCCTAAGATGCCCCCACGAGGCCCTCAGGAAGCGGCCCCAGGAGGCCCCCCAAATGCCCCCCCAAGCACGCCAGCAAGTGCCAGCGATGCCACCATATGGGCCGGCGGAATGAGCGAAGCGATGGAATGAAAAACAACAAAAACACAACTCCTCCTCCTCCTCCTCCTCTTCTTCCTCCTCCTCCCAGAGTTCGGAAAAGAAAGTAAGGCACAAACATGAACTGTCGGAGGTCCGCTCGGCTTGCTCGGATCGGCACTGGATCCCATCATCGACGCCACTCCTGGCGCTGGCTCGTCAAGTATCTGCCTCCCGCGCCGACAGGGGTCCCATAGCGCCGATCTGAGAGAAATCTGGATGTGCATACCGTGAGTCTGCTTCGAGGACAAGCTGGACCAGCCCCAGACACGCTCGCGTCGTGCGAGAAATCACGGCGGGAGGTGTTTGGCCGTTCTCGGCCTCCCGGGGCCCCCGCCGTGCCTCAGGACCATCAAAAAACGGCTCGGGAAAGGGTCGGGACTTCCCAGGACCGCGCATGTTAAACAACAGAACATCGCGTACCTGCGGCTAGCACCGAATCGGGATATCGGATCGGATCGGAACGTGCATCGGATCGGGCCGCATCGGCACGGAGTCGAAACAGAATCGGGCAGGCTGCGCGAGGATGCACAACTGCGCCTTTCGAGCATCGGGCCGCATCGGATCGCTGGAACATCGAAAAACATAATCGGTTCGAGCCTGGCGAACTGAAAATCGGATAGTCGATCAAATCGGAATGGGCCGTGTCCTGGTGTGACTGCTTTCAGTTTGGAGTTGTCCACCACGAAGATCGAGACGTGCTGGCCATCCAAAGGCTTCGTCATGGCGGTGATCATGTCGGCGGTAGGCCCAGCAACGGGGACCACCTTAGCTTTGCCCCGCGCAATCGCCAGGAAACGACTGAGATCGTGCGCAGCGTGAGCCGGCTGCTGCTCGCTTGCCTCAAGCCTGTCCTGCCCCTCCTGCTGACGGGCGAAGCTGTTGAAGATCTGCTCCAACGTCGTTGCGGACAGCGAGTACTCCGTGACCTCCAGTGAATCCTTTCTCTCCTCCATTTGGGTGAAGAGGTCCCCAAGGCTGCTATGGCTCCAGATCTTGTACTGGGACATGGGGCCTTGCCACTCGACGATCTCAGCACTGTAGCACATGCTGGGCACGAAGGCATGGAGGTTCTGGAAGCGGGCTGTATTGATCCACCACTCCGCCAAAACCTTGGGGGCGACGGCGGCGCTGGCGTCGACGAAGGGGCTGCTCGGCCCGTCTAGGGCAGCCACGATGAACTCATTGTCCTTCATCGCCTCAGCCGCCCATCGCTTGCCCAGCCGTGCGTCCTCGGGCTGCCCCCACTTCGACGTAAGAGCCTCCAACTGCGCATCGGTCGGCCGGCTGACCTTGCACATGAGCTCGTAGGCGCCGCCGTAGCGTGCACGGATCTCCCGGTTGGACCCGATGGTCCGGAAGACCCCGTTGACCATGATGGCGGACCGGGCGCAGAGAGCCTCTAAGCAACCACGTGTGAACCCTACCCCTGCATGTCAGATTTGCGAGAAACGGGATGGGGTTCAGGATGCCTGCAGCCAAGTGAATCCCAGCGGGGGTGTCCGATACCCCAGCTTCGATTGGACCCGTACCGGTAGGGCATGGTAGGGTTCGCCAATGGTCGCAGAGCCTCACACTCCTCCATGGAGTGCGTGGACAGGAGCACGCTGCTGCGTTTCCGCCGAGCTGACACGTTCTGGAGCACGCCCCACATGAAGCGCCGCGCCACCGGGTCCATTCCTGCCGATGGCTCGTCGGCCAAGATGATCGGAGGGTCACCGATCAGTGCGCACGCGACCATCAGCTTCCGCTTGTTGCCGCCCGACAGGTTCGCGGCGTAGTTGTCCGCGAAACTCGCGAGGCCAAGCTGCTCCAGCTTCGCCTCGACCACCTTGGGGATGGCGGCAGACGGCACCCCCTTCAGGTTCGAGTAGAAGAACAAGTGCTCGCGGGTCGTCATCATCTCCAGCAATGCGTTGTCCTGGGGGCAGTAACCCGTCCGCGTCCGCGCCCTGCGAGAACCAGCGCCTGTGCTCATGTCAAGGCCGGCCACGGTGATGGCGCCTTCTGTGGGCGAGAAGTGGCCTGCGATCATGTTGAACATCGTGCTTTTGCCAGCACCATTAGTGCCAAGCAGACCAAAAACCTCCCCATACCTCATCCCAAAGTTCACACCCTTGACCGCGTGGAGGGCACTCCTCATGCTGCCGCAGCACTTGTTGAGCCCCACCGGACCGTAGACTTTCCGCACATTTGAGACGTGCACCGCGGCTTCGGAAGTGAGCGGCATGGAACTGGCCTCTTTCAGCACGGCCTCGTCTTCCCAGCCCTCGGGCTTCGAGATTGCCCCCGCCTCATAGTGGAACAGCTTCCGCAGCCTGGGGTGGAGCTGCAAGAGGTCGATGAGCACAATGGTCAGCATATTTGCTGGCCCCCCTGCGGGAGCCATCAGGATGTGAAACCTGGGTTTCAGCAACTGTGCAGCCCAGTCTTCCCCAGCGGAACGCCGCAAATCACAACATCGCAATGTCGTTGGGAGCTGAGCAGCTTTCGAAACGTGATTTGCCAGCCACCCGTTCTCAGAGCACGAACCTTATCAGTTTTTGAGAAACTGATGTTCTCAATTTCTGAGAACGCAGGCGAACGCCCCCAGCCCGAAATCTAAGCCCACTCCCACCCCCAACTCAAATCCTCTGAAGTTCTCAGGTCTCGGGACACATGAGAAATTAATTAGCCTGGCGAAGGACCCAACCCTTTGCAGCTGCGAGCGACGCAGGATATGACCCTCTCCTCATAGGCAGCGCACTGCAACGAGGGAGCCCCGAGAGAAAGGGGGCGGCGGACCAGGCGCGCAAGAGCGAGCTGAGCTCCATTCTGAGATGGGCACTTGGACGCCATGCATCTGCGTGCAGACATGCGCACGGGGACACCATGCGTCTGCGGCCACTGGGACCGTAAGTGGAGCTCCCTACGGGGCCGCGACCGTCAGGAAGGTCACGGGAATTTGCACGGGGACGCCATGCATCTGCGCCCGCGGAAGCCGTAGGTGGAGATCCCTCTGCGGCCACAATCCTCGTGAGGGTTGTACCTAAACGGGGGCGAGGACGCCATGTCTCTGCGCTGGCTGAGACCGTATGTGAAACTCCCCATTGCGCCACAATCTTCGTGAGGCTGTGCCGATATGCGCGCCAAACGCCATGCGTGTACGCAGGCTGAGAGCGTGCGTGGAGCTCCTTATGGGGTTACATTCCGTGTGAAAGATATAAATAAGCACCGAGACGCCATGCGACTCCCCACGATCCTCGTGAGGGGTGTGCCGAACTAGGCGCGGGGAGATCCTCGTGGGAGGACAGTCGCGGGGACGCCATGCGCCTGCACACACCCGGACGGTCCCCGGACGTTCCCCAGACGGGCCCGGACTAACCCCAGACTGACCCCGGACTGACCCCGGACTGACCCCAGACTGACCTCAGACTGACCCGGGACTGACCCCGGACTGACCCCGGACTGACCCCAGACTGACCGCGGACTGACCCGTGACTGACCCCGGACTGACCCCGGACTGACCCTGGACTGACCCTGGACTGCGCGGAGGGTCTTGGCATGCTGCAAAAGCTTAAGCCTTAAGTCATCCCGGTAGCGCATGCTTACGGGTGAGACGTAGCTTAGAATGTGCGTGTAGCGCATGCATATGAAGGGTGAGCCGTCGCCTATTTCCCAAACAGGATCGGTTCTCTTTATTCCCAACCATCCTGTGGTGTTGGGTCCTCGTTTTGAAGAGACGGTGCCGCGCGTCTCCTCTCCTCTCCTCTCCTCTTCTCTCCTCCTCCTCCTCCTCCTCCTCCTCCCTCCTCCTCCCTGCGTTAAGGCCGTCCAGGTTCAGGCCACACTGGGCATAACGGGCCATTTTTCTCCTCCCCTTACTGGACAAGGCCTCAGCTGCGTCGCCACACATACCCTCCAGTTTGCGTGCGGAGGACGAGGCGACCACGTCCAGTTTCGTTAGCAATATTTCGTCCAAAGAGCCAGCGTGGCACAGGAGACAGCGGGCACAGAGAGCACAAGACAGAATTCTGGTCAGATTGTCAGCAGCTGTTCCTCGACTTCAGTCACACCACAGCTCGGGCAAAGTTGTCGACATGCCACCAGTTTCGAGCAAAGCTTCGAGGTTTGGGCGTGCAGCACATGCCAGAGGCTCAACCTTCCCAATGCCAAATACTGTCGCTTCTGTCCCAAGAAGAGCGGCAGCGAGCAATCCAGTCAAGAAGACGACGAGAAGGCTGAAGCTACGGCGCGCCCATGGAGGACGCCATCTCGTCCCAGACAGCCTCAGCAGCCTCGCCAATGGTGGTCAGCACAAGAGTGGAGCGCTCAGTCTACACAGAAAGGTCGAAGGGCGCGTTCCACAGCAACGACATGGAGCAGGCAGTATGACAGTCGTCCGCAAGCTGAATGGCCTGATGACATGAAGCACACAGTTCAGCTGGCACCAGCTCCCCCGCACATGGCTGAGCGACAAAGGTTGTGGATCCCACTGCCGAGGGATGACAGAGACCTTCCCAAGCATAGGGAAAATATGAAAATGCAGCTGGATGCCGTCGAAAAGCACATCAAAGTGGCATACAATATGGGTTACACAGAGGAGCGCATCAAGTCTTAGGAAGAAGACTACAGGGTTACATTATACCAAGTTATGCATGCCAGATCCCCAGAGGAGCGCGCAAGGCAGCAGGCCATGTACGTTGAGCGTGCCAAAAAACGGTTAGAAGAAACACGTAAGGTCGAGGCTGATGCAGCAGAATACCTGAAATAATGTCAGTTACAATCTGTTCATGTGAAAGGGAAAGTGGATCAGGCAGAATTACTGGCAAAACACTTCGACGAGTCGGCCGCACATGTCCGTGCAGGGTCTGATGAGTACTGCGATGAGGATCAGACCATGGATCACGAGGATGACGAGCAGACAGGTCAGCAACGCATGGCTCGAGCAGTTCGCCCGCCGACACGAAGGGCACCTTCAACTGCAGAGCCCACAGACCCAACGCCCGCGGCGCTGGCCGCCATGCAGGCAAACGACCGTGCCATGTTGGAGACGCTCACAGCGCTCTCGACGCAGATGAGTATGATGCAGCAGTGTATGTTGCAGGCAGGTCTACTACAGCAGCCGCAGCAGCCGCAGGCAGTGGCGGCACAGATGCCAGCAATCAGCCTCGCTCCAGTAGCCCCAGCGGCTCCGGAGTCCAAGGCTGAGCTGGCTTTGCCACAGCGAGGCGCCGCCATGGAGCAGCAATGCGCGGCATCGCCTGCGCCCAGGCCACAGCGGCGGAAGGCGCAGCGACCCCCATCGACATCGCAAGGGACGAGAGAGCCATCGCAGCTGCCGCGGCAGCGTTCGCGTCCGAGCCGTCGCCCCCCAGCGCCGAGGGCAGCAGCCCAGTGGCGCGCAGGGCGGGCAAAGGCGGTGCGCCAGGCGTCAAGCACAAGATTGGCAAGGACAAGGACAAGAGCAGGCTGTCGGTTGCATTTGCCAGGGCGGCCCGCCCAGCGCAGCAACGCATCGACACCGTCAAGCTCGACAGCGACGATGAACTCGCAGTCGCAGAGGACGGCTCGGTTTTTCGCTAAACAACTCATTTGCTGAGGAGACTCGTCTTTGTATGCAGTCTCCACCAATGCCCAATTCAAGCTCGGACCGACAGCCAGTGTCTATCGAGTCTTCTCATGCAGCGGGTCGCGCGCCACCGCGCGCTAGTGCAGATGCTACTGGGGTGCGTGGCATCCGCGACAGTCCTATTCCAAAATTTTCTGACACGTTTCACCTCCTGTGTCAACCTTGGGACACTAGGGGTCTTGGACTTTGTGACGACACGTTACAGTTTGCCCAGTTTTGGCATTCAGCCACGATGCGGGGTCTGGCTGAATTGGGTCCCAAGGCCAATGACAAGGGTCAGCGCATCCCTACCCGTTTGGATATATTTACAAATGGGTCTGCAGAGGTCTAAAGATGCATGATACTACTTCCACTACACCACCCTCCTGGGCTTTCTGTGCCATCGCTTCCGACACACAGGGACAATGGTTAGTGAGCTTCCAAGCAGGGGACATACCGGGCATTGCACAGTCCTACCTACAGAGTTGCTGTCTGCATACGCTGAGTTTGAGGCGGCAATATGGGCAGCCAAAGGGTTACTTGCTTCGCCTGTGTTTCACCGCGCACACGTACATTTTTACAGTGACAATCTGGATGTCATCAGAGTTGCACAGCTTGGAGGTACGAAAGAGGTCCTGCAGGTCTCCAAGATAATTCTGGACGGCATACAGCAGATCCTTGTGCAGTGTGCTACACAAATATGAATGATCTCACGTACCAGGTCATTCCTGCCACACATGGAATGAAATGGTGGACACCGCTGCGCGCATAGCATCGTATGGTGCATACGAATACACACCATGCACGTTCTGGCGCACATCTCTTGAGCTGCCTAGACACATGCAGGCTATCCCATGGGCATGGCTTTTTGCGTTTGCGCCAGAGGACAGGAGTGAATATCCGCCGCCTTTCGGCCTACCGATTCCCCGAGCACAACGCCCGGTGGTCAAGCTCCAGGAATGCTTGCCAGAGCCACCGGTGCCCAAGCCAGTCCAGGACACCCAGGTATCTATTTGGATGGCTGCCGCCAACGCACTCACTATGGATCCCAGTGCCAAACAAGCTACAAACAAGAGGGGATACATACGGTTGGCACGTACCAGGGACCCCCTTACGGGCAAGTTTCAACCGTTGGGGGCCCAATTTGCTAGATGCGAATATCTCTTGGCAGGTACCGCTGAGACGAGGATGCCGATCTCGAAAGCAGCCAGATTCGGACAGTTCTATGTTATTTGTTGCGCCAGCGACGCCGTCAGGGACTGACGGATGCGCACTGTGGATCAACGCGGAGATCGAATACACCAAAGGCTATCGCCTAAGACCGCACATGTGCAGAGTACCACACCAAGAACCGTCAAGATTATTGGCGGCCATCCGTGCTCCGCAAATGCTGTGCAACATCCTGGTAGCACATGGGCCAGGAGAGGGCAATAATCGCACTGAGGCCAGACTTGCACAATGATGAGCCACTACGGAGAGAGTGGTTCGCATGCACGAGGGGGACTCCGAATTACTACTCACATGCCTCGATGCGAAAGCCAGGATGGGTTCCATCACATCCAACGCATTTGGCTCAGTTGATGCTGAGGAACAGAAAGTAGCAGGTGGGTGCTTCCATGATTTCCTGCAAGCCACGGATCAGTGGCTACCGTCCACTTTCATGCCTGCGTTTCCTCCTTCAGCCCACACATGGAAGTCGCACTCATCAGGTAGTCAGGGTCACAGACTGGACTAGATTGCAGTATCGGGATCAGCCTGGGTATCTGCGCAGGAA